AATGTGGATTTTCTCAGCCTGGTTTTCGTTTCATCCTTCATGATAGGCCGTGCCATTATCAAGGACATATCAAGACCTTTCGCCGACCTTTCGCCGCGCTTCCGCGCGTCTTTCGCGCGCCAAGAAATTGATCCCAGAACCCTGTGCTGCGAACTCGGCTTATAAAAAACAAAACAAGGGTTTTAGAACAACCCCCATATAACCCTACACCCAGTTCAATGGTCTACACCCAGCCTGGAGAGAGCCACGATGTAGGGGCACCTATATGGTGGCTTCCATAAATAGGGGGATTCCAACATGGATGCACAAATACTACCATCCTTCTTCTGGGGACCCCCAAACTGGTACCCCTAACTTTGGGAAATGCCCATATTGGCTCCATGTCACGCAGCTTGTGAATGCGAATTTGATCTGCAGTCCTTCCCTTTCAAGTGGGTATAAGCAAACCAGGAGTCTGACCAAATACTTACTAAGTCCCCTTGACCCCAACCCTAAACTCTAAATACTATAGTAGTCTCCATTTCCTTTTCCGTTACTACTATATAACTCCTATAGACCCTCTGAGTACTTACTTTAGGGATTCCCAAAACAATCACTCACTTCTGACTCCTGAACAAAGGGTTTAGGGTTTAGGGCTTAGGGTTTTAAACAAGTAGCTGAGAAGATTTTTCGTGCAGACTTCTCCAGCCCCAATTGCCTGAATTCTGAAGAATAATCGCCTCTCTCATACTGAATGCCCTCAAGGTACCATCATATTGCATAATGCGCGGAATATTGATTGTTGGGGGCGGAGGGCTGGGGATCATTATTATTACAGAAAGACAGTCTAAAGGATGACATATTCAATGCCCTAAACCTAAAGTGCTTCGGGCTGCTCTGAAAAACTGTCGTGCTTTCTAGGCGGCTGAATTTGTCAGCGTATGAGCTAGAAATCTGACGAGACTTATTATCACAAGTCTTACAGAGAACAAAAATGATCTGACATGTGCTGCTTTGTGCGCATAGTGACTCATACTAAAAACACTGACTGAGCATGTCCCTTAACGACTTTTTCGATTTGGCAATGCGCGTCTTTACTGCGTCCACGCCAGGGCAGAAGCTTTTTCTGCCCACTTGCATCATGCATCGGGAACATTGGCCAGGATCGCTTTAGTCTAGACCGCTAGTATCCGCGGTAATAACCCCTATAATACTCCACCTATCTAACCCCTTACTAGTTTGACTTTGGACAGATTCTGCCGGTTGATGAAGTCCAGAGTATTCGGGGGCAAGTGAATTCGACAGACCGTTACAACCAAGACAAGTCCTAAACAAAGCCTGCATGCGGAAAGCCGCTGTGCTTCGAAACCCTAGCTCCTACTCCAGCAGAAACATATTTTCGACACCAGGTGCATCACAGAATGCGTAGGGATGTTTACGCATCTTCCTGGCTCAGGGTAGAACACTATAGATTCTACCAGGTCCGCCTGTGGAGTACGTAAGAGGAGCAAGGCTGTAAAGCCCTACCGTCTCACCTCCCTTCTCACTTGAGAGCCGCAATCAACTATACGTCTACATGATGTTGAGAATAAGAGGCTTCATTCATCCAGGAGCTCTAAACTGTATTCTAAGCCCATTTCTCTAAAATCCCCAATAGGCAGCCCATGATCTCCTCCTAATGAATGTCTACATCCCCGGAGTCCCTTGAGTAGTGCTTTTTTGGTGGTTGAACCTAGTAAGATTATATTCCTTATATAACATAATATACCCCAAAAGGAGGATACAATCTTACTCTATAAAAGGTACCATAGTATCCCCAAATAGAATACTACTCCCTTGGGTTTCGGAGCAGCTCCATGGTTTTGCACTCGCAGATCTGGCCACGCCCATCTCTAGCTACTTGCCTACCCTACGTTTTGCCATGCCGCGGTGTAGGAGGTACATGGAACGCTGGTCCGAAGGCACATGATCTGGGATTTTTGCGAAGGATGAGTAGGATCCATACATGTGGATGGTTGTCAAAATTATGGGCCCTTTTTGGATCCCTATAATAATACGGCACCTAATATTTAGGGTACCCAAAAGGGACCATAATTTGGACAACCACCCATATATGGGATAGATGTTGGCAGCGGTGATTTATAGCCATACCCACTTGCTCAGCTAAAAAAAACCTTGGCACCTGCGCTCCGGCAGAAATGCTTGACAACATAGCTACTACCACCTTCCCTTTCCAGGCAGCCCATAAAATCCTACCTAAAGCCTGGTTAAACACCATAGACCCTAAACCCTATAGACCCTAAACCCTACAGAGGAGCCTAAGTGCCACTCTTCTCACCGCTTCATCGGGAGGAGCTAGGGCCCGGCGTATAGTGTGCAAGGCCTTCCTGGGCGGCTTCTCAACCGTTGAGGTTTAGGGTTTAGGGTTTAAGGTGACTTTACTAAGACCAACCTACTTAAGTAGCAGCGGTGGCAATAGCCATTGCCGCCGCCGCCACCGCTGCTGCTTCTTGTGCACTTTTTGGTGGTGGCGGTGGCAGTGGCGGTGGTGGTGGCGTTCAGTTGTGGTGGTGGCCTTGTCGAGCTCAGGATTTGGGTTTGCAGAATTCGGAACTGAGCCTGGCGGACACATCTAGTCGAGCGTGCATTGCTGACACCCATGGATGATCTTCTAGTGTCAGCGCTGTCCAATGGACATGAAGCTAAGAAAGAGTCAAACAAAAACATCTGGAATCTGGAGTTGGATTGAGACGGTGGAAGGTCATCAGCATTAGTGGCTAGCTCAATGACCCTAAACCAAACTTCTTGATCTAGCCCTTTATGATCTAGCCCACCTAACTGCTCCCATATCAATTGCAACAGGTAATTAAGGCAAAAAATGATGATAACAACCAGCAATGTACAATAATGGTAGTAGTAACCGGCCCGTAGACGCTGAAATCTTGCAGTCAGTAAATAACTTTCTGATATCCTAGTGCCCCTATTCCAGTTAACATTTTTTGTCCCAGCATCATGAGGGATGAGCTCCGACGTGAAGAAGGCCCCAAAGAAGATCACAAACATGAGGATCGCACCCGGCCTTTGTCTCATGGATTGTCCAAGTTTGTCTTGCATCCTGTTGATATTCATCGGGACTTCAGACTATCAGCTATAGTCTAAACTCCTAGTGTCCCCCCTAATAAGCCCTATAATACTCACCTGTATAATCCCTTCTATAACACCCCCTTTAAGGAGTTTAGACTATAGGTCATATGGTCACAACTACGAGGTGAGTGCAGGTCAGCAGGGCGACGTGAAACTTACAGACTGGATGCAGAGCCTGGCGGGGTATATACTGGAAAATAAAATGGAAACTACTACTTAGGATCTAGGGCTTCCCTAAAAATAATAGTACCTTTGCTGGGGTCCTTATAAAAAGGACTATTGTATTTTGGGGTCTATATTGGGGTCCTCTTATTTGAGGAAACACCATCTACAGCTCTCCTATACCACCCTGGCATTCATCAGATCGTATCCTGCGCCATCACCCTTTACCACCCAGCATTGTGTTACCCTAAACCCTGAACGTCAAGAACTTCTTTACCAAGGCACGTCCCGCTGGGAAGGAACTGACCTGGCGGAGCGCGCTGGGACAGTCCAAGACAAACGAAAATGATGTTGCGCTGCACATGAGGTTTTAGGGTCTAGGGATGTCATGCCCCAACAATGGAGAATCATATGGAAAAGAAAATGAAACACGAAATGGAAGCTGGGATTATATAGGGTTTATAGGTATGATAAGCTAAACTCCGAGCTCCCCCGGAATAACTCCTGTAATGCTCCCCTATAGAATCCGCTATATAGCCCCCTTTAAGGAGTTTAAACCACAGCTCATACGGGGATCTATCCAAACAAGGCTACCCTAAGGCTTTAGAAATATGTGTACATGTATATATACATGGTTGTGCACGCAGGTGGTGCCGTTGGGCTTGGGTCCTGGATAATAAACGAAGAACGATTTGAAGTACTATCTTGAGGATTCAGAGCATCCTGTTGGGGATTATAGGGATTGCCTTGAAAAACCTCCTGTATGCCTGTGCGGTGTCAACGGCGCAGGAAGAGCCACCAACCACATTCCGGTTACAGACTATATCCAACTTTGGCTAATGCCAGGTGTCTGTGCGAATTCTACTCTTGAGCTGAGAAAGTTGCCGCTCTAACATAGGCCCCCACCTCCCCCCAATTTATTGGAGTCGCTGATCTACGGACGACCCCCAGACAAGCAAGAAAGGATGCATCAGTTGTAGAAAGCCTAAACCCCAAAGCCTAAACCTTAAAACCAAACCCTACACCCTAACCCTTAACCACCAAAACTGACAAGGGGTCTTGGCTGCTGAGCACATACGATTGATCAAGTAAACCTCGTACTGCCTAATTCCAAGAGGTTGCAACAGTTCAGGTACCTGAAGTGGTACAAAATATATGGATAATATACGGATTGTATAGGGATATGTTGGATTGGGGCTTAGTTAGTCCATCTCCTCCATCCATAGGCTCTGCTAGTACTTATTTCGGTGACCGTTTCAGGCACGTTCTCCAGATCAATCAGCTGATTTCAACTTCCCACTAAAGGACCCGCAGCAACTTGTACCAAAACCGCAGCATGAAGATGACGTCAAGCCGGTAGAATGGCAATCACCTCCCATCCCGCTGATAATGAATGCTTATAGTAGCATTCTACAAGAGGGGAATATGGAAGTTGCCTAGAATAGGGGACCCCCCCATACTATAATCCTTAATATAGGGAACCCCATAGTGGTACCCGTATTTTTGGGAAACCTCCATATTACTATCAGGAGGGATTTCCGCGGAGTGCTTTAGCCTTCAGCCATCTTATGCGTCCTTACCTTAAACCCTAAACCCTGAACCCTGAACCCTGAACCCTAACCCTGAACCCTAAACCGCAAGGACAAGCTGCCTGCACTCACGAAGCCCAGGAAGAAGATGAGCTGAATGATGAGAGTCAGCAGGCCCCAAACGGGCCAAAAGGCGAAGAAGAATAGCCAAACCTGGGGTTTAGGGTTTAGGGTTTTAGGGGTTTAGGGTTTTAGGGTTTAGTGTTGAGGGTTTAGGGTTTATGGGGTTCATACAGAATGGCAGAGTTTTGTTAGGTCAGCGCCTTACGAATCTTGAGGGTTATCTATAGCAATGATGACAAGAGGTTCTATAATGATAGGCTTTTTCTTGCCTAGGTGTTCAAAGTTTCTACCTAAACCTTTAACCCTAAACC